CCATTCGAACGCGCCACGTTTCACCGCCTGCTATTTGCGGAAAGACGATACCGGAAATGCCGATATTCTAGTCGCGCGTCTGGGCTACGCTCCAAAATTCTACTAGAGTAGCATTTAATTAACCAATCAGAATTAAGAAATCTTTGTTCTTTTTGTCCTGATTGGTTAATTAGGTATTACTCTACCCATCGAATAAAATTTTGAGATTGTAGCCTAGAAATCGTGACTAAGCAAAAACAGTTTTTGTTTCTTTTCAGCGGCGCACGACAAAGCGCAGAAAACTGGAGTTGAGAAGAGTGAATTTTGAGTTACAAGAAAAACCATTTCATAAAATATAAAAATAATTGGATTAGAAATAATAGAAAACTCATATCTTGCATTTTAAAAAAATGTATATATATATATATATTCTAAGGAAAAATATTCTTTAAATTTTAATAATATTATTATCCACATAATATGTTGTAAATTGTCCTTAAAGTTTAGTTAAGGATTGAAAAGAATGACGAACAGCAAATTGATATTGATGTTAAAAATAGAATTAATTAATCAGAAAAAAGAAACCAACTACTAATTTAGTGAATATTGTTCAAATTGGTGAAATTCCGATATAATTTCAATTTTAACTTTTAATTCGATATCGGCATATAATTGGATATATCTATTGGTGGCATGGATGTAATAGGTGATTTATACTGCGTCCAATATAATTCGATAAAAGATTCACTTTTTCACGTTTTTCCTTAGATAGTAATAATTTTATCTCTAGAAAATATATTCTGTTGATTTATCAAATTATTATACAATATTGAGTGTCAGATGTGATATGAATTCTCATTAGGCCTTGCGCACAAAGGAAGAAATATTAAAAATAGGAATAAATATTAAATTTTGAAAATAAAAATTTAGGATAAAAAACGTAATAGACATTTCATTTTTATTTTAAATTTTCATTTTCAAAATCTGATATTTGTTCTGTAACGATCCTCCTGATTGGTCAAGTAAATGTTTTCAAGTATTGCGGAATTTTCAATGCAGTCGTAATGTCCGACCAATCGGAAAAGAAAAAATTACTTATATTCTCTTCTCTGATTGGTCGATCGTAGTGTCATAATGACATTATCATGTTGACCCCGCATATCAATGCTGCGTTTCTAAATTCATTGCCAGTACTGAAAATCTATAATATATGTGACCTGGACTATATATTTTCAGTATTGGTAGTAGAATATGAAAACGCAGCTCAAATAGAATTTTAGAACGTAGTCATCCAGATATTTCCTACTTCTGGAGACATTGATTATCGCCATCTGGCGACTATGTGCCGTCGAAGTGCTCGAGTACTCGAGCGCGATTTGTGACGTGCATACTGTACTCCAGTGTGCTCCTAGAACTGTATGCACGCGTAATATAAAAATGTTTGTTTATAGTTGATAATTGTTCAGATAACGCTAAACATGATGGATTATGAATTTAAGATGAAAACGCAGAAAGACCGCACGAAAGTCGAGGATCTCTTCGAATTCGAGGGTTGTAAGGTCGGAAGGGGTACTTACGGGCACGTATACAAAGCCCGTAGGAAGGAAGGGTTAGTCTCTAACTGACCGACATCATTCTGCAAAATTCCTTTATTTCATACGTTAATTTATTATTTTTTGCACATTTAATAATGTGATTATTCAACTCCGCCGGATTAATACAAACGTCGATTTCTCAAAGGTGTCCCCGAACATATTAAAGTCGGATTTCTCCTGTGCAAAAGCACTTGCTGTCCTTAGTCTATCGATCGTCTTTTATTCAAGATATCTCGAACGCGAGAAAGCACGTTTATTTTCCATCTTTTTTGCCTGGGTTTGCATTTAACATTTGATATATTGTTTAATTTTTTATTTAATTTGTCCCATTTGCTTAATGTGAAGATTATTATCAATATATCTTAATTGTAATGCACAAAGTGCTACATTAAATTTTAAATAATAATGTAAGCACAAACGTAAATCTACATTATTTTAATGCATTTCCGTTTTTTTTTTTTTTTTTTAATTTTAAAAATGAATCTTTAATTATTACATTTCTATATTAATATTAATTCATTACAATTAAATGTTAATCAAAATCTCGATTAAAATTAAAATATCCATTAAATCTATTATACTATGATTTTTAACGAGAAATATTTTATTCTTCGTAAAATATGCGAACGTTGGGAATAGTGTTTCAGATAGCGAATTAAAATCTCGGCCTGATACAAAAGACTTTGGCCTTAAGCAAATTGAGGGTACAGGACTTTCAATGTCTGCATGTCGAGAAATTGCAGTGAGTTATACCAATAATTTTTAAATGGGAAAACTTGTCACCGAGATGCAATGAGGAGGAGTTGAAGCTATTCTTTTTTTGTTCCAGTTACTCAGGGAACTAAAGCATGTCAATGTTATTACTCTTATTCGGGTTTTCCTCTCACACAATGATCGTAAAGTTTGGTTGCTATTTGACTTTGCAGAGCATGATCTATGGGTACGATTTATGATCGAAATTTACGAGGAGAAGATATCTTGGATAATTAAGTTATTTTGTAATAATGCATGAATGTATTATTTGCAGCATATAATTAAATTTCATAGAGCAGCAAAGGCTAATAAGAAACCAGTGATGGTACCAAAAGGCATGGTTAAATCCTTATTATATCAAATTCTAGATGGTATTCATTATTTACATTCCAACTGGGTACTTCATAGAGATTTGGTAATTGCTATTGCCATTATCAAATATGTTTTTTTTTATTTATATTTATAGATTGTATAATAAGATCAAAAACATCGTTTTTTCTTTATTCCAGAAACCAGCAAATATTTTAGTAATGGGAGAAGGAAATGAACGAGGACGTGTGAAAATTGCCGACATGGGCTTTGCTAGATTATTTAACGCTCCTCTTAAACCTTTAGCAGATTTAGATCCTGTAGTAGTTACATTTTGGTATAGAGCTCCAGAATTACTTTTAGGTGCCAGACATTATACGAAAGCTATAGGTCCGCAATATATCTATCTTGTATTTTTCTAACTTATGCTAGATTGTGTTGAATATTTGATTCTATCATTACAGACATATGGGCTATTGGCTGCATATTTGCAGAACTTTTAACATCTGAACCTATATTTCATTGTAGACAAGAAGACATCAAAACTAGTAACCCATATCATCATGATCAACTAGATAGGTAGAATGCAATACAATTTTCGCATTCGCTTTGTATAATATAAAAAATAGCATAAACTAATTTATGTTTAGGATATTCAATGTGATGGGATTCCCATTGGAGAAAGATTGGGAGGATATCAAAAAAATGCCAGAGCATCCTACATTACTTAGAGATTTTAAGAGATCCAAGTATGTTTGTTAATCTAGAAACGTTAATTTAGAATGTTTTTATCAACATTTTGTTCGAAATTTTTTAAATATTGATTTTTTTATTTTCAGTTACGCGAACTGTTCACTTACTAAATATATGGACCGGCATAAGATCAAACCTGATAGCAAGGCATTTAATTTGGTATGAAAATAGAAAAGAAACATACAAATTTAGTAGCTAAATTTAAAGGTGAATAAACTTTACATATTACCGTTGACTTTATACACATACCGTTTTAGTTGCAAAAATTATTGATGATGGATCCGAACAAACGTATTACATCAGAACATTCTATGCAGGATGCTTACTTCCAAGAGGAGCCACTGCCAACACAAGAGTATGAATCTATTTTTATCTCAATAACTTATATTCTTAATAATTTCACTAAATTGTATTTATTGCGAAAATCTCAGTATATTTGCTGGATGCCCCATCCCGTATCCAAAAAGAGAATTTCTCACGGATGATGATACGGAAGAAAAGACTGAAAATAAAGCGAGACAAAATCAGCAACAAACGGTAATTGCTTCCAAGGCATATTGAAAGCATTTATATGATGTACTTTATGGTACTTTATGGTTTAAGCCGCAACTACTATAATAAGATAACTATTTTAATACAGACATTAATTTGTAATATCCAAATAAGTATCTACTTTTAATTATACACCTTTACGTTTTTAAAAAATATGGTTTCGATTGTTCAAACGGCCCCGTATGACCGCCGCAGTGGCAAGGCGAGTGAAGCCCACTTTGCCGCTGTCTAAGCTCCGTCGCTATATGGTAGTTGAGGATTGAACTAATTTTTTGAACGTCGTCTTGTCGCTCATCCGAGTATTCGTGAAACAGCAACAGCAGAACCAACAGCAGCAAGGTAATGGCGATCACAATCATGGGCAGAACGCGAAACGGGTGAGACTGAATGGACCGCACGGTGCTCCCGAGTTCCATCAGCATCAGAGCCACGCGATGACCCATCAGCAACCACCGGGGATGGTTTATTCGACGGCTCAACCGACGCAACCGTCGAACTTCCATCAGCGCTTTTAATTCTGTAATTCGTAATCAGATCGAATTGGACGGTAACAGGCCGAAACTTAAATTGTCACTAATGCATTAATTTAATTCACTATCAACAAAGCGGTCAGTCCGTGTATATTCCGTACAAGTATAATAATAACAACTTTATTTATATATACATATATATCTACATATATGCGGAAGATGATTTTTCCTGCACCCGTTTCTATTTCCGCTTCCAAACATCCTCTCTATTTCCGTTTTTGCTATTTGATATTTCAAATATATATAATT